ACATATTTGTGCGAACAATTATTTTCAAAAATGATCATTACAAAGAACAAGCAAAAAACTAAGAATATTGATGCCCATTTAGAAAATCTTCCAATCTTGGCGTCCTATCAAGCGTGATGCAGCAACAAGACAGTGAGTGTCACATTGAATGTCATTGTAATAATTTTTTAATAAGACGACTCAGTTGAATTCACGAATTGTCGCAGTTTTTGCACGATGTTCCGTTTTTAACTTTCAAAAAATATATGCGATCCGCGAAAGAATAGCAACCCTAAATTTTGTCCCGCGAGCGACGTAAAATTTGCCGCCCCTTGGGCCATCCGAGTCCACGAATCCAAAACAAATGGCTGATTAAATCTATGGACTGGTAATCGGACTGGAGGACGTGGAATAGGGGATGAATTTTACCGGAGACCGTTGTATATCATGTATTTTGGTAAAGCTCATCATCAGGCTGTAGGGATGAATGAGATGTACGAAAATCATCATTATAAGTTTTGAAAATTAATTTTGTTTTCATCATTTCAATGTGAAATGCGGTGAATTTAGGGAATTGAATGCAAGAGTACACGACAGTTTTTGAGGGAGTAGAACCCTGAATTCTTTCATTTCCGACCTCTGATATGGTGAAAGAAGGGTTTTCAGCCGTGCTGCTATTGCTATCAAAACAACTAAATCGCCTTTCCCTCAGTAAACGGGGTAATTTTAGATATAATGAAAAACTCGCTGAAGAACACCAAGCTCATCCATCTCATTAAAAAACACTATGAACTATGATTTGTCTTCTTATTTGGTCTGTAATATATTCGTTTCAAACTTTTTTTTTGCAGTGCCGGGGGGCGATGAAGTTGTATAAACTACTTTAGGGGGGCGATGGTACAAAAAGTTTGGGAACCACTGTGTTAGATGCACGCGATATCTCACGAAAGTGAGATTGAATCTGCTCTAAATTTTGCATGCATTCATCATAGCTCGGGTCAGAAGTCTATTGATTTTCGATGAATTATGTCGTATAATTAGCGAGTTATTATTTAATTAGTGATAAGACACACGGTGTCACTATGAAGTAAGAGCGATGTTTTGGGGGATCCCCTAACCTTCGATCGATAAGTCTTCGGTCTCTGACCGATATTCTCGTTTATTTGTTGTAGTATTACGAATATTCTTCTTTATTATTATTATAATACTTATCTATGCATATATTATAAAGTTTATGAACTACTCAAACAAACTGTGCAAAATCAGGAGTGCGACTTGCGCATAACACTAACCAAAGAATCCAATAACGATTGAACTAATAAAGTAGTTTTATGCACAGTGAGGCAGGAATAGAGAGTCCCAAAAAACACGAAGAAATTTAATGTAAAATTCTGGCAAACACTGGTCTAGTCAATATTTTGCACAACTGTTCGTTGGATTATATATTCTGTAAATGACATACTAAAAACGCTATGTAGTGTCAATGTACTCACGTATTGTGACTTGCTAGTTCGACGAATTAGAATTTTCTATTTGGCGATATGCAACAAAATACATACATATGCTATGCCGACACTCTGTATATTGTTGCACAGAAAAGTTTTATTGCGTGCTTTGGTAAGATCTTGCCTAATTTCTCCAGACATAACAAGATACAGCATAATCGAAGAGCGAACAATGTAAATAAATAATAGCTCATTCAAGCATCCTTGTGACCTGAGTCACATACGGATGCGAAAGTGTCAGTAAACATGAGAGGAAGATAGGACTTACATTCGTGACGTTGTTGTCATTGTTAAGGCAAATATCCTCATTGTCTACTATTTTACTTATTTTCTGCAACCAAGCAAATGTTGACAGATTCATTGCCTTCCGATCGCAAATTGATTCTGATCAATCGTCCACAGTCTGTCCTACTACCATTTTGCGGACCGAGCTCAGACCCAATCGAGTTAAACCTCCCAGGCTGAATCTGACAAAATGATTGCGATATTATTAATCAAATCATAATTCAATAAAAAATCAAAATTATAGAGATAGATAGAAAGATTAATCAATTTTGGAGGACCAAATATCTGTGATATCCCTCCATTTTAGAGCTATACTTCAAGGCATTTTTACGTTGCGCCCAACTCTGATTGCGAAACGTTTGAACGTTTAAATACGGCATAAGCATGGCCCAGATATACGTTCAAAGGCATGACATATCTATGTTGGACCAGCTTGGAGCAACGTAAAGTAAATATACCACATATTAAATCACAATCGATGTCTTCACTTGTCGCAATTGACCCTAAGCGCATAGAACATCTCCCTAAGAATTACAATACTGCGAAGGTCACTCGAGAAAGAATGAAGAAAATACAACCACGAAGCGCGGCTCTCACGCAGTGAATTACAATTGCCAACATTATCAATGATTAGTTTAAAAAGTAATAGTTCCTTTCTTATATTCTAAAAAAGGTCTGAACTATATCCATATATTTTAATATTATATTTCTATTATAAAGTTGAATGCTTTTAAAGTTGAATGCCAAAGTATTTTAATATTATATTTCTACTAAAAAGTTGAATGCTCCAGAATTGGCGGTTAGTTTTTGGTAATATGGTATTAAGGAGACAATTTTTATAGAAATATTCGAATACTTTAATCAAAGACAGATTATTGATTCGACAGTCACTATTTACATAATGAAATCATTATTAAAAGCTTTCATCAGAAGTTTTCATATCACGAACAATATATATACTGTATAATTATATTTCAAAAAGTATGTATATATGACAATCAGGAAGAGGTATTATTTAAATGGATGTATTTAAAGAAATTAACCAACAACAGTACGATTTTAAATCGATTTTCTGTTTGATATAGAAACGAGTCAAGAGGTTCTTGGACACCATTCAGTAAACAATCAGTCGGTTACGCCCTGCAAACATAATTCCAATGCTAGATAAATATTCTCCATACTCGTAGATTATATGCCAATTCCCATTTAGCCTAACCGCGTCTTGTCTATGTAAATGATTAACCACATTTACTCGCTGAAGATGTGATTTAACGCTGTCTAATGATTGTTTTGAAACAGTCTGGTACCAGTAATAACGGATGCTTGCTTATCTATTGGTATCGCTGATGACAATTTTATGGCGAAAAATACCTGGAATCTGTCGCCACATGTGGGTTTTATGGCCAGAACAACGTCACGGTGGTTGCTATTGAATATTGCTTTCAGGTTGCCAAGAAAATTTTATAGGAGGCGGTGATGAATAGTCGTTCGAAAATAATCGTTGTAATATCTGAGGGCAAAGTTGTACTTATATACGCACGCCTGGACTTCGAAGAGCAAGGTTAATGAATAGCAAAAATTAGACAACTTATCAAGTGATTTACCCTAGAATATGAATGAGAAATATAGAGCAATTTCGTATTGTATTATAAACATTGATAACCCGCATATCAAAATTGTGAGAATACAGTTCGGGCAATCGGTATTATTTTTGTGCTATATATTTCAAAATTGTTGTTATCGAATGTATTATACTACTCTTAGCGACCGGGATAGATATAATAACGAAATCATTATAATTTGAACCGAATTATCATGCTTTGTTGATAAATATACTTTAGTCCATTCGTCCTGTAGGTTTCCTGTACGTGATGAAATCATCGTGTTTTAGGATACTTCATTTCTGCATAAAATTGACGTAATTAAACAGATTTGTGAAGTGGCGTGTTTCGTATATGAGGTGTTAAGTTTTGTGAAGTGTTAACATCCCTAAATATTGCCGTAAGATGCGTTTACAAACAACCGCATTTCATAATTATTGGATTTTGAAAGGTTATCAATCGATGTTTCAAGTTGGGCACTTGAATAATATTGACTATAGCTCGAAGTGGAAATGAATTGGCCACAAGCCTTTGTTAGGCGATTGAAATCAGATACCCACGAAACACAGATATCTAAACTATTCTGTTGTGGTTATACAATTGTTGCTTAGCGGAAGGCGATATTGTAGTAAGAGCTATAACTGGAACAAGAGATTGTCTTGCCTTAATTGTGTTCGCCCGTGTAGTTAGGGTAATCGGACACGATGTAATAAACTGTAAAAAGCGTTTGTACATTCGAACAAGGTGGTATCATCTTCTTAATGTGCTCAACTTATTAAAGTGTTGAAGAAGACGTTTGAAATGTCCAGAACTTTAGTGTAAGGTAAATGTTTATGAATTGAAAGAGTGAAATTTTATTTGTACATCCTTTGAACAACTGTGGAGGGTGGGTGTGTACAGTATTTAGTTAGTGTTCATCGACATGATCCAAGCAACAGGTGTAAAATATCCCTAATTCAACGAATATGATGTTATTCTGTATAATAAGACTGTTCGTGACTGATGTTCCTATTTAGATCAGGCTACTTCAAGATTTTGGAAAGGAAAGTCATATATAATATATACTTTATATACCCAAGTTAAAACCCTGTACATGTGGGACAGATACATAAATATTACACATACATTGATGCTATATTTATACTACTATAATTTTCAATTTTTCCACTGATTTTACTATTTATGTTGAATTCGTTCATCACGTTCCTGGGCTTGATTCTTGGCAAAATATAGTTACTTGGATGTATTCCGCTATTTACCATTTCAAAACGATATTCAAATGAGTTTAATAACCATCGGTGCTGATAGAAAAAACATCAACACCTATACTTAATGTTCCAGTCAAAATATGTTCAGCAAATGAGAAGGGTTCTGCTGGGAATTTTTTATGAAGTCAACAAGTCTCTGCTCAGCATCTGAGGAGTACTTGCATATGTATATTCAACCTGGCCCCCAAAACGCTAAGCCGTTGACGGCAGAGCAATCGGCATTACTCTTTATCAACAATAAGTATGTTTATATTGCAAACGTCACTTTTGCTACATAGGCGTGAAATATTATAGAACTTTGCGTTTCGTGTTGTGTGATAAATGCAAATTTTTCTGAAATTATAACAAATATACACATTTAGTTTTATATCATCTAAATGTAGTCGTTGTATTTATCTTACACATTGAAAGCAATCATGGCGGAAGAAGCTGCCGCTAGCAGTCCGAAACCTGATATAGCTCTTCCAAAAGTTTTAATACACCAAGCTAGTGAATCCGACAAAAGTGAAAGTGTGGAAATACGGAATGAAGATGAAGGAAATAAAACTCCCGAACAAAATGGTATTGTTAATGGCACAGAAAATCACGATGTACACGTAGCTTCGAGTCCAGAAACAGGAGAAGCATGTAATGGCAATAATGCAACAAAACAACCTGTGACAGGTATGAAAATGTAGTATTAATTTTTATCCGGACAAATAAATGACTGGTCCTGTGAATTGCAAAGTTGAAGGTTATCTTCTTCATAGTGAAATGGACTAAAAAATACATCAGCCTGAACAGAAGTATTAAATACTACCGGTTAAAAATATGTCAATATACCATGGGAAGCGAAACGCGAGGTAGTTTTTATAAATCTTTAGACACCAATCCTTTCCAGTCATCCATGAAGATAGGCGTGGTGATGCCCTCGATTTAGCGCAAGCTTTTCTCCCTTTATGCCGCTATTGTTAAACACTGGCTCATTCGGATATTTTAAATTACATTAGTATTTCGTGGTAAATGCAGTAACTTAACAAAAAATACGTGCCATCGATGATGGTCGACTAAAGAGACTAATTTTGGAGCGTTCTTAACTGCTATTTTTGCTCCCATTTATGTTTTTTTTTTCTTTATCCTTGCGTGGAAATTACTCTTTGCTTACTTTGCAATACATAATTGTGCAGAGAGTATATGAATCAAATCTGACCAACATACTCCTGAAGCTCGGTCTTTAACATCATTAGAATAACAAATTCTGAAAAATCTTTGGAGTCCAGAATTGTTTTATCTATTGTTAACCAAATATAGTGATTGGGAAAAAAACAATATTATTTATGCACATCATGTCGCGGCAAAACCTTATTCATAACTTTATATTTGGTCTACCTGCTTTATGTTTTGCTCATACTTTCGTTAAGTCAAATCCACAAAAGTGGTCGATGACGAAGCAATGTCCCAAAAGATTGAGGAAACAGCTCGTGAAGATGAAACAGAAATTCAAACACCAATACAAGTTTCTCAGGATGACGAGATAGAAACAGCAGCAGATATTATCAAAAACGACGAAGTATCAAACAGTACCGAAACAGCTCATACTGCACAGGCAACTGAAGACAGCCAGTCACCAGAATCAGATGCTCAAACCTCAAGTACTGCACACAATGATATCACTAATGAGGCTGAAGAATTGGTAAAAGTGAACACTGACAAAGATACACCAAATAATGTAGTCGAAGAGGATAAGGATAATACTGATGCAGAAGGGGGGATACAGACAGCTGCAAAATATGACACTAGCGGTGTCGATAGTTCAGAAAAATCTCCAACTAATGTGGATATAGATGTCTCCACGGCAGAGGTGAAACAAACAATAAACGATAAAAGTCAGGACGGTATTGTAGGCAATACATCATCACCAAAAATGGTGAATGACGGTGAACCCGTGGAGCAATCTTCTGAACATCTTGTTGTGGATGATACGAGTATAGACAAAAGCACCAACGGCAACAATGTAACAGACTTAATTAATGAGACAAATTCACCTAAACATGCGGATACTGACCCAGGAATTGTTAATGAGGAAACTTCAGAGGTTATCGCAATTTCTGAAACAGAAGAAAATAGCACCAAGGAGTCAGTGGCCACAAATACCTTATGGAATGTTGGAAATACTAATCCTATAAAAGAATTGACTGGCCAAAATGATGACAGTCAACGTGTAGCAAAAACATCGCTACACGATGATGTTGCTAGTAACAGTTCGGTGGATGATAAAAACGAACTTGAAAACCAGGCAGATGGTTACGACGCCAGCGTTAGCGGTAATGAGGATGAACCGCCAGAAAAACCAAAGTATGTAACCGAGAAAAATGACGAAGTGCTTGATAAAAAAGTAGCTGAAGTTTCCAAAACTCATCTGAAATACTTGAAGACACATGGAACGGAGATAAATGTTGAGAAAGATAATGAACTTTTACCAACGGAACTCCTTCCTGGGCCACAAAATAATAACTTTGTTGACTATGATATTACAGATAAACCTCAAGTACCTTCATCTGAAGTGAATGAAAAACCGCAGGTAGAAAACATATCAGACACTTCTCAAGAATGTAAACTCCTGCAAACCTTGGCTCCACCAAGCGGAGTTGAATCTGAGGGAAGCCCTACCCCGGGTAGGTCTTCTCCACGCCAAGTAACATTTACTAGCGACACAAAAGTCCCAGAAGACAGTGAATCCGATTCAGAAGTTGTCATTCCTGTTCGGACAAAACAAAACTCAAATATAGGATCATTAAATGAAAAAGACTTTGATCGAAATCTTGTACACGAACGCGATAGCACTTCAGAACCTCCAATAATAAAAACGAGAGATTTGGAAGATGGAGAACAAGAATTGCCTCCGGAGCCAAAAATAGGTAACAATGAGAGAAGAATGGATTGCTGTTGATTGTAGAAATCATAAGTAGTTGTGGATTTCAATAGAGAGTGAAGATTTTTTAGTTTGACTTATACGATCTGTTTTCTTTGTGTTTAAATCATTTGGATTTCTATTCTTGTATCAGAGAATTACTTAAGAAATTTGCTCGATATACATAAATTAAATTTCTAGTGTAGAACAAAAGAATGAACTAAAAATGCGTTGCGTTTATTAATGGAAATGCCGGAGATGTAGCAGTTAGTCATTACGAAGATACACATTAATAACAATTTATTGTTCTGTGTCCGAAACAGAGATCCACTGTAACAAAGGTGATTCAATAGGTTTAGTATCTGTGATACACCTACTACGAGTGTTTTATATTTGAGACGCCTCTCACGTTATCAAAATAGAGCAATTCATTGGTGAAATATTTTTTATATATCTGGAATAACAACCTTCATTTTTAGACAACAAGTATACGTCGTAATTATATTTCTTTGTCTTATGTTGTCGCTTCTTTGGAGCTAACAGTTTATATAGCGTTGCTATTAGCAATCATAACAAAACTAACAATAACTAATATTTTTGTATTGAATTCATTTTCCATCATTGTTTGACGTCGTTTAGTGTGCGAACTAAGTAGTTCAGTGTGCGAACTAAGTAGTTCAGTGTGAATTTCTGTCATCAGCTTACTTTTTTTGTCTTTCATTCATGCATATGTTCAATGACACTTTCATTCGCAGCTAAATAGGTGGTTTCGTAATTTTTTTGTAAAGTTGGTTGCTTTTGATCATAGTATACACCTACAATTATACTTTAACTTCCCATTTGTAAAAGAATCGCTATATAACTTGCGTGCGTACGAATTTCAGTAACGCTTACAAATTTCTCTGCAAGCATTTATCATTATAATACCGAAAAAAATCGAACTTCAAATCGTCAATCGTTCAAATACAATTACATTTGTGTCAGTAATCCAAGTATGGTATCAAATCTCAAAATTATGAAAAAGGGGGGAGGGGGTATCTCATATATGGGTATTGGAATCCAATGAAATTCTATGTACATAACGGAAATATCTGTAAATATCAATATATCCATATCATTATATATTTATAGAAAAATATTTCCCCCCTATTTTCAGCGCCATCAAGCTATTATACTAATCAGTATTGCCATTTCAAATGCCCAGATCAATTGTTTTAGGAGATCCGTTCTATTTTTATGTTTAAAAAGCTGAAATTTGGCTCTGAATTGCAAAAGAGTTTTTATTCGTTATGTCTGAACTTACTTTATCATCCATTTCATATATAGCAGTCGGTATTGTATGTTTTACCTTCTTAACTAACATATTAACGTATAATTTAAATTTATTTTATCCTAAAATTAAGATTTTAAGAAACTTTTTATGTTTATTGTACAAGTAAAATTACTGCAATGTTCAACGCAACTATTCATACATACCTGAAATAAAATACCAGTTGTCTAAACGCCTAAATACCGCAGAAAATTTGGAATGCTGAACTATTTTCATAATGGAATCAAATCCAAATGCTGATGCATCTATTTATTTTTACTGAGTCTTTTTTTCCTCACTACAGATGTGGTGGAAACACGAAAAGATCAGACACCTGACGAACCTGCAAGTACTGAGATAGTTTCGGAGAAAAATGAAGCACAAGCGAAAGAATCAGATGATGTCAGTATTATTATCAGATCTGTTGTTTTTCAAGGTCTTCGTTTATATTTTCAGAATTTGAAAATGAAAGTGTAACTGACTAGAATTTCCGCACAATATTTCTTTTATTTTATTTTTTTAAAAACGCAGAACCGTTGTTCTGTTAACATGACTGTTAAATATTTTATCAATGCCAAACCATACGATTTTGTTATTAATTTCTCACAGTTTCGTCTCTATCTAACTAACTATTGTGGAATAATAAAGTACTCATTAATGTCCAATGGTACTTGATTCCGGACAAAAATCTTGAAGTCCGAGAACACTGCATTAAAATTGTCCCGCAATTTTTACTTCGCTATCTTTTCAACAAATTGCAAGATTTTAATGGATGAATCATTTTGTGAACGCTTTGCATGTCTAAATTGCCCAATTTATTGAAAATGAAGCATAAATGGTGTATTAATTTTAGAAAAACGGAGTAGGAGAGCATGTGCATTCTCACAAATCAGATGTTGAGCAGCTAAATGAGAAGATTCGGAATCTCAATGACCAGATCAATCGTTTGGAGGAGGAAAAAGCGACAAATGCGCAAAAAGTGGGTGATTTGAGTTTGAAGATTCGTCGAATTACAGATGATAACGTTGATGCAATTAAAGAACGAGATCAAATGATCAGAACATTGACAGATGAAAAACAAAAAATGGAGGATGTAAATCGAACACTAACCGACGAGAATGAAAAATATAAAGCGAATCTTGGCCAACTTCAACAACAACAAAGAAACGGAAGTACAAATACGTCTGAGCCACCAAGCCAGAAAAAGTCATCCGTGTGCGTGATTCTGTAATATATATAACCGCAAAAGATATTTTGCATTACTCCTAAAGTTTATTTTCACAATTTAGAAAGTCTCGCGCAGTTGAAAGTCTATTTTGCATTCAGCTACTAAATATGGAAAAACATTAAGATATGTCGCATTTATGGCCTATAAATATTTTTCTCGGTCTCAGAAACCCAGTAAAATACTATTTTTATGAAATCGAATTTTAAATTGTAAAATTTTGCTAATTAAATGAACTGTTTTATATCTAAGAATTATAATTACTTTGCTTCTTATTTTATTTTTCTGTTTTTCGTCTTTTGTAAACAAGGCTACCTATGTATGATTTGTAGAAAATCTACCTGAATGTAACTTTGCGTACTAGTTTTCCTGTCATTTTTAAGCTTTTAATATTTCAAGCAAAATTATTGAATCCATCCTTGGAAACAGCTTAAATTCGAGTATTATGGCTCTTCAACCAAAACGGTGTATATTTCTCCTCCGTAAATATTGATAACCTTTATAAAAACATGTTACCCTATGCGCAAGAAAGTATTGTACTCTAGTATAGAGATGCTAATTATTTCATTGCGTACGGTATCATGATTCTCAATTTCGGAAATCAGAAAAACCAGACCACGGTTTCCTAAACAGAGAGACCTGTACCACCCCCTAGGGATACATGTCGACTTTTCAAGGGGTACATTATATTGATTATAAGAATAATCTCGTCTGCTGTTTATAATTTGAAGACCTTTATTTAGCAACTCCGTAGGAACTCATATTTTCATGCCTGTAAAAACTTTAACTACAACAACAGTTATTAACAAGTTTACTTTCGCAATTCACAAGACTTATTTTGTTTAATCAAAGCATGTAAGGCAATTTTGTGGTACACGGGAGCAATCTATAAATAGTCCGATTAACAAAAAGTTTGGGAAACCCTGAACTAGACCATACAAATTGCAATTTCTCTAGTTTCGTTTTATAACCGTTTTCTACTCTTTTAACTAGTTCAGCCAATTGCCGCTCCGTCGCTATTTTTATATAAAAAAATAATATGCGTCAGTCACTTTACAACACTCCCATCGTGTATTCGATCGCAATACAAACTCCCCTTCATTCTAAAGCTAGACCTGTACAGCAGATTGAGAACTCTTAAATAAATAATCATGATTTTCGTTCTATATGTGACCCCCCCCCCCCCCCCTACAACTGGCGAAAAAAATTGAAGACTAGTATTATAGAAATATGTATGTATATATTTATATATATCTTTTGTTCAACATCGTTTACAGCATGAAATAAAAGCACACTTTTGTTTTCCTGTCGTTGTTTTTCTTGAATTTATATAGTAATAAAATAGGTTTTCATCTTTGGAGGAGTACTTTAGATTTCATTTCTTTGCGTTCTTATTGTTGGTTAAATGGAAATCACGTCATGTTCTATATTTTGTCACAAACAGAAATCGTCTCAAAAGTTTGGCAACTGAGAATTTATTTTTATCCCTCAGAAAAAAAGAACTACCGCTAGAGCTAAACGAACAAAATGGCATTAATATTATCAATGGGCTAGTTATTTGGGAGTACATTTCTGTCATGTGACGTACAATTAAAATTTTGTACGAATATATATATATATACTCAAGGCAAGATTGCAAGAACTCAAATATGAACTGACGCGTCAGCGAAAACAATCAGGGCGAACGGAAATAAGTCCGCTAGTATGAAAATGTTTCGACATTCTTGAGATGTTGGTCTTAAGTTTCAAACACATAAATTTCCTTGTCAAGTGGGAGAAGTCATGAAGCATCTGTGATAGTAAATAAACGTCTTAACGAAAAGTTTTAGTGCAAGCATTAAGTCAAAAGCAAAAAGAGCTAGACGCCAAGTATGTACACGAGACGAACAGTTTTGGGAGCGTAAATTTCCACAGGAGTCCAGATATAAAGTAACTTAGGTCGCTTATAGGAAAGATTTTCAAGCAACAGTGTAATTTATCAGACTGATAAATGGTCTAGGCCAGTATTTCTCGACCCGTTTGCACCCACTATCCCCCTGGGCCACTGACTACTAACTTTCGAACGCCCCACATTGCTAAACATGAAGGTGTTCCTATGCATGCTGATATGGGGCTATGATATTTATATTGATACACTTAATATATATCAGAGCTTTGCGATCTTTTATCACTAAGAGTTTTAGATGGTAAATTAGTGACTCCAATGGACTCCCCCAATCATACACCCCCGGGCATACCGGGATAAAAACGAATTTGGTGAACGGCTATAGGAAATAAGTTATGACTTCCTTCTGCGAGGACAGTTAGGAACCACTGTATGCTTGGGAAAGCGTACTCTGGTTACTTTAAAAATGAAAAAGTAAATGATTAAAGAATCACGGAGGAAAACAAAATTTAATAGAAACACATGCACGATGTCGCCAGGGGTCAATTTGTCAACCCGTGGTTGGGAGGCCCTTAAGTCAGCACATAGTCAAACCGCGAATGATGTTCAAACCGTTCCTTTCACTTATATCAGTGATTCCCGATTGGGTTTTCGTAGACCAGGAATGGGCAACCATTGGCACGCGTGCCATGTTTGGCCCATTTATTCGGCACGCGAGCGAAGTCTCATTTACGAAATCGATCTCCAAATAAAAAAAGTTTTAAGATTCTGAATTATCTGATGAAACTCGATGTTCGTTTATTTATTATCGTTTGTTAACAATCCGTTATTTATTTAAACTCTTTTTGTCCTTTCAGGACATATGGCTACAAAGAAATATATTATGGCGTACAAATGAGTCAGATCTCGAGAAATTATGTCGAGAGAGCGCAGAATTCATTTGGCTACAGTCTTACGTAATATAGGTCGTCTATGGCTCTATGCGAGTGATTCCCAAACTATGGGTCGCGACCCCGAGTGCGGTCGCGTGAAGATTTTCCGGTGTCGCCTGGTATCTGTCAAACATGCGCGCACAAGTGACTAGATTTTGGAAAGGGGATTTTGTGCTGGTCGGTAGGTACCGGAAGAGGGCACAACTTTGGACAAAATGTCCTTATTTTCAGCAATAACTCGACCGTTTATTGTCCAAACGGTTCCAAAATTGCTCGGCAAAACATTCATGCGGTACTTCACCTCTCTAGCTGACAGGCAGGTACCGGTATTAGTAAATGCATTTAAATGAGCGCCAATACTATTTTCCTTTTTGTAATTGACCTTAGTCCTTTTATTTTCACTCATGCGTAACTGAAGGCTAAACCAGTGTCTGACCCGCTAGTACACGAATCGGATTTTTAGCCAGGTTGGGGGAAAATATGTTGGTTTGTTATTTTTACCAGTGTATCCGCTTGGTTATTGAATATACAAAGCAAATTCGCTTTATTTGGCAATTGGCCCTTACTCAGGTGTTTGACAAGTGTGTCATTAATTGTCCGGCGGTGTAGTGGCCGAGAAATCATACTTTAGGTTTCGATCTGCTGCGAAAGCGTCTTTAATCTCTCTGTACCTGTTTTAAAGGTTTAATATTGTGCATTTTGCTTTGAAAGTAGCATAGCATTGTTTTTTTTAACTTTGGCGGCACGCGAGAAAATTTTGTCGTTACATTGAGCCGATTTTGGCACGCGAGCCAAAAAAGGTTGCCCACCACTGTCGTAGACCCACACCATGGTTCCACTGGAATTTTGTCTTCGAGATTTTTATTTATATGATGAAAACAAAAGAGCAAAGTTAGCTGCCAATATGGCATGTAGCTTGAAATAGACGACAAGCCAATGGATATTCCAAACCAAGCTATATGGTGACACAAGATCTTAGACAAATGAACGGACTTACATATTCTTCTCAAAAGTGTATTTGAGTTGACTTTTAATCAAGTTCAGCTATATTTATTGGTAGTGTAAATTTCAGGCATTCGATAAAATGACGTGGAATCGATATTGCATCAAAGTCCTAAAAATGCGTGGATTTGCTCGAATTTTGGCCCATCTCTTCTATATAGACACTTTCCTAAATATAACAATGAGAGATTGTTCCAAAACTTATCCGATCACTTGTGAAATAGCAAACGACGACCGCATAGTCCTGCTGAACATTTTTTGCAAGGATTGGTATCGCATCCCATTCCTAGAGTAAGGTTGTCCGATCCAGTATGTTCCCCAGCTTTTCTTTTTAGGGGGGGTGTTTCAAAATTTAGGGGGTGGTAAATAATTTGCTTTTAGAGATAAAACTAGGCTATTTGCATTCTTAAAAAAATAGGCTCTAAGCTTGATTTTAGATACACCTAGCATCGCAGTTTGTTATGTAATGAAATCAATAATTATAATATCTAGCTGATAGAATTCCCGGGGAACAGATAACAAGCACGGCTTTCAACCGTAAATATATACTACTACGTTTCAACAAGTAATTTGCAACTGATAGTGACTAATGAAGTTACTTGCTCATCTGGCATTGTATGAATGCCTACTTATGGCTAGTTTTGTTACACATTTCTAATTTTTTTGAACATGTTTGTTTGACTTTTGTATGAATTAAATTTTGAAATACGCTCGTCAACTGATCATAATGTCGCATAATGTTGTATTCCTTCAGAACTGAAATATTTTGTTGGTAAGAAGACAAATCGCTGAAGTTTGATTCTTTTCAATAAAGAAATAAAAACGCTGTCATTCATCTAAAAAACGTCTGCTTTCAGTGCCTAGTTTTCGTTTTGTGACATCTTTAAGCTTTCTCAATATACGGCTGATATCTAAAATACTGCAGTGTAATCCTAATACTCATACGTATACATAAGATACCGGAATAAGTCAATTGTTACGAAATAAACGTGCTTAAACTGTGATAATGATGTAACAATAGACGATATCTAAAACTCAAAAGGTACCACATGAAGTGTTAAACTATTTCTCTCAAGTTCGGCGGGCCATTTTAAATCGTTACGCGGGCCGTAATTGGCCCGCAGACTGCGGTTTAGAACCCCTCAGTGTGGAATCGCATCTCAAAATTAGGGGGGGTGTTTGAAATTTTAGGGGGGGTGTTCACCCCCTATAGGGGGGGTGTAGGGAAATCACTGGTCCGATCTCTTCAGGCTTACGACTTCTTCTAGTACAGAGCACAATATCTAGATTCTAGATCTAGAGCCAGGTTTAAATGAATAAATTTCAGTATACCGGTGTATATGACAGTTCTCCACATAATTTGTGCAGGGTCCTTAGGCAATCATTAGGTTGCCCATAGAGCGACGGGGGTAAAATTGATATATATATATATATAAAGAGAGAGAAGTTAAAATTACAATCCGATTTGTTTAGGGTCCAACTCTATTATGCCAAATATTCAACATATTATGACCATAACCATTAAATGACGTGGTAA